GATCCTGGCGCCGCCGCCGGCCGGGCTCCGCCTCCCGGGCGCTCGTGGGGCTCCGAGCTCTGGCCCGCGACCGCCGCCGAGTCGCAGACCCCTGCGCCGAATCCCCTCCGAGCCTCCGCGGTGCACACGGCACCGTCCCTTGTAGGCCGAGCGCCAGGCCGCTGCCGCCCCCCCACGCCTCTGTGCCCTCACTGCGGCCCGCTCTCCAGGGACGCCCTCGCCTGTCCCGCAGGGCGCCTGCTGCACGACCCCCGCACAGGCCCGGGAACCGCCCCCTTCCCCCCTGCTGTACAGACTTCTCTGAATTAATACATCTTTCAGCTGAATAATACACCCTTTCTTTCTTGTCCTGGCCTCTGTGGGCAGTTGTCCCCACAGAGTCCACTTAGTTCCCGCCCCCCTTTAAAATTAAAGATATAAGCCAGACACGGAAGGACTAATACTGTACGGCTCCACTTGCGCAAGGTACCTGGAGTAGTCCCGTTCACAGAGGCGGTGAGCAGAGTGGTGTGGTTCCCAGGGAGGGGGAGCAAAGCGAGGGAGGGAGTTATGTCGGACGGGTCAGAGTTTAGTCCGCTCGTCCGGAGCCTCTTCCCGACTAGGCCTCCGCCTGCATCCCGAGAATCCTAAATGGGAATGCCCCACCGTCTGTATCAGGTCACCCTCCGTATCTGACCAAATTCCTCATCCTCTTCCATCCTCTTGCCTTCAGCAGGAATGCTGTTGGGTCAGTTTAGCAGAAAATCACCCACGCTCTTAGCAATTTTCTATCCACGGACAACCGCCCCCCCCCGCTATAAATCTTCATTTGTCCATTCTGTATTCGGAACTGACCCCAGTTCTACACTGAGATCTCTTTTCCTCTGTTGCAAAGTCCTGAATTAAATCAGCTTTAACCTCTTTACTGTCCAGCTCTGGTTTTCTTTGACATGTCAGTTTGGGATAACGGAAAGTTTTGGAGATTGGTGGTGGTGGTTGCACAGCAAGGTGAATGTACATAACGCCGTGAACTGTACACTTAAAAATGGTTAAAATGGTAACTTTTATGTTGTGTATATGTTACCACAAAAGAAGCTAGATAGTTAGAAAAAAAAAAAAAGGCTAAAAAATTTAAATGTATAAAGGAAGTATTCCAGAGATCCTGCAGCAGTCCCTCCTGGAATCCCTTGGCTTGGCTTAGAGTTCTTAGCCCCTCTCTTTTGGGGTTGCAAGAGAAAAATACAGGATGCCAAGTTAATTTGCATTTCAGTAAAAATCGAATATATAAAAATTGTCTATTGTTTATTTGAAATTCAAAATTAACTAGGTGTTTGATATTTTTATTTGCTAAATCTGGCAGTCCTACTCTCTTGCTAATACTCTTGAGTTTTGTCCTCCTTCCCTGCCCCTCCTCCTGGGGGAGTTAGGTTGAACTGTCTTTTTTGACAAGAACACTTCATTGTCTCGCTGGCTGCAGCGAATGGTCCCCACCAGTGGTGCTGAAGAGATGGGTTTCCACCTATATTATAGACTGCATGTTTGTGTCCCCTAAGATTCATCCGTTGAAGCCCTCCCCCCCAGTGTGATGGTATTTGGAGAGGGGTCTTTGGAAGGTGATTAGGGTTAGATGAGGTCGTGAAGGTGGATGAGATTGGTGCTCTTATAAGGAGCGACACTGAAGAGCTTGCTTATTTTTTCTCTTCACCACATGAGGACACAGTGAGAAGGTGGCCATCTGCAAGTCAGGAGAGAGTTGTCACCAGGAATCGAATGGCTGGCACCTTGATCTTGGACTTCCCAG